ACTCACTCACTTACTCATATGGGCTGCTTCAAACATGATCGCGCAGTACACTGGATTAACAATAAATATACATCTAGCCATACAATTATGAAAAGAGTTAACGAGAACGGAGAATGATTCATTACACAACATGCCATAAACGTTTGGAACTGCATTTATCATCCAAAGTTGGCTCCCACAGGAGATATCATGAGATCAAGAGATATCTACATTGTAGATATCGCTGCAATGAAATTGCATGACAGTGCTTTGCAACCATTGTGACGTCATTAGTAACCATGACGTCACAATCAAATGACATCACTAATGGCTCTGCTACTGAAGCTGTTAGCAGTACTTTTTACACTTAAGACACTGCTTATTACTGCCTACACAATGACAAAGTTGAATGATGTTGGGTGATATATAAAATCTCACTCGAGTGTCTTTTGATATAAAATATATCAACACTCTTTGATATACATTTGTATTTGATATAAAAAGACACTCGGGTGAGATTCTCTCTATATATTATTGTACAGTATGAGGTTTTATTAGGTAGATCTATACTACCAACTAACATTATATTTACAGTATTGAAAAGTTGTGAATTCTGAAGAACTTACTGCACTTAAGTGAAGTAAAGATTACTTTTGTATGTTCGGTCCCAGATAACATAGGTCATGATTATTTAACGTAATTTATATGTCACAGATAAAATTACATAATTTCGAAACTCGCATAACAAAGAGTATTCTTTTACGTAATGGCATATGACTCAATATCATAATCATCGACGGAAAGGACTGTTACATGTATTTTTGCTCAAAATAAAAACGAAATACGAGGTCATCTATAGTGCATATACGGCATTGCGTTAATTGAAACATGTACTTTACGTCCAGTCAAATTATCGCGATGCAACACAACCGCTGACCATGGAAGACCATACACATGGCCAACTCTCGCCACATATACTACATGTATACCACATGTCAACACGGAACGGGCAGATGCAAGAGCGAGACTATTTCACATAAGAGCATTGTTTCTTTTTAAAACACATCTGTGACGCCATTGTATTGTTTGTGCGCTCCATTATTTTAAGGGAATTGAAAGTTGATTGTGTTCTCTGCCGCTGTTGCACGTGCTCCGTCGCAAATAATCGATGGTATCCTTTGGTATGGACGTCAATTTTGATTTTTTAAAGTTTATATCGATGTAATGGCATAGTACCAAGGACAGATGGAATACGTTTATATTTTAATGCCCCGCGTAAATGTTTGTCAGATAAGCATTTGTCAATTTGACAGATATGAGATTTTCTGTAACAATTGATACTTTGTGATACCAACCAGCTGTTCCCCTGGCAATACATCACTTGAATGCTTTTCAGCAGTTGTATCAGTCTTTAAAAAACAATCAACACCATGATGTGCGTCACAAGTCAGTGTTTTGTAGAAGAATACGGTGAACAGGTATTATGAAGGTTGTGATAAGCACGGAAGGCGTGTGAAATCGCCAGCTGACACGGAAACAGGCTTCCCTCATAGTGTAGCCTCTTTCTGACTGGCAATTCCTTAAGCCCGTCTGGCAACAGAAACATTTGATACGGTCCACTTCATCTGCGGATCAGACACCTCGCTGAGAGGAAAGTGCGGGGGCAACTGTCGTGATCGATTACAAATATCGATTTATGGACAACACGTACGCCATTATAAATTACATTGATCCACGGAAATCATCTCTAAGGACCGACATATTTGACCTTGACATTACTTTCATCAGTTTGCCTGTGTTTGTAACTCGTGCCACCGGTGGGACAGGATACGCTCACCTTTTCGCAAACAGATGGTATCAGCACAATTTGATAGTGATTCATAGACGCATGTTACCCGCGACGATCCGGGGTAGAATAGGTCTTCAGCAACCCATGCTTGCCGTAAAATGTGACTATGCTTGTCGAAATAACCGACTAACGGGATCGAGTGGTCAGGCTCGCTGACTTGTTTGATGCATGTCATCGTATCCCATTTGCGTGGATCGATGCTCATGATGTCAATCACAAGATTGTCTGGCCCAGACTCGATTATTTACAGAGCACCGTCACCGGAATATTGCTGAGTGCGGCGTTAAACAACAAATAAACATAGACACATGTTTATAATATAGTCGGAATCATTCAATCCACTCTGCTTTTAGTGTGGATTTCTTATGAATGTGAAAAGGGAATTGAAGCTTTACATATTATCCGATATATTTCACATGCATTTTGGGGTGCTCAGACATGTGGCAATGAGTGTGACGTGTGTGTTTGAAGCTGCACTGACGGTATTTCAGCTACATATATGCATGACGGTAGCCTGTAAATAATACTGTGGCGCATGAAGACCAATGATCGATATTATGAACACACCTCGTCACCCGAGTATGCGTCTTGACCATCTAATTGCTTCTTACGACAAGCAGAGATTGCTTAGGACCAAGTCAAACCTGGAATAAGTACGGTATACGGTACTAACACACCAAAGAGTGTTTGGTGAAAAGTCTGTAAAAAATGAAATTCTTCCCTGTGGGATGCACCATCATTGATGTTAAGGTGGAACTTTGGAATCAAGAAGACGCATATTGTTTAATTATATGCTTCACAATTAGAAGCTTTGTACCACTGGATCATTGGACCATATGACACTTTATGATCAATATACCTAATTTATTGAGATCAATCTTTATTGTTTCAAATGAGATCTGACGAGGGTGTCATCGGCGGGGCAGGATACACCCAGATATACACAGGATACGCCCAGATATACACAGGATACGCTCAGATATACGCAGGATATCGCGAAAGCCTGGTTTCATCACAATTTGATAGTGATTCATAAACATGCTTATCATATTGTCGGAATGGTACATTAGACGCTGCCTTTAGTAGAGATGTGAAAATGTTTTTGTCCTTGTATTTACTTTGCCATGAAGATGACGAAAGTTGAATTAATTTCCTGTATTCCTGCAATTCATTGTACATTTGATTTAACCGACTCATTGGATTGGGTGTTTAGATTCCATGACTTGGGTGTTAACACGTTTTGTATTGACTGGTTGTGCGTCATTGTGTGATTTGAACACCGCATCATTCGAATAGAAAAGTTTTCGTTAGAATCGACAACTTAATGTTGGCAACACACTCTCAATATTAATGCGGGGAACATGTCACCTAAGGCACCGCAATTCGCTGTGTAGAGTTGCGTCCCTTGGACACCTATGATAGTGGGTTCGAATTCCGGTTCGCCCCTATTATATTTCCAGGTTTGTAAGCACCATACCCGTGCTCATGGGCTTCACGAAAATGGTAAACGGCTTTCCTCCCATATTAAGCCGTGATGTAACCGGACTCCAGTTCAAAGCGGCGTTAAACTTAGTCAAAATCAATTCCGTTCATATACGTTAGTTTGTTGATGAAAAAGATAATGTTGATTTATATACATCTCCGTACTTTGTTAAAGGCTGTTAAGCTTGTTTGATATTTCAGAACAACAACCCACTAAACACATTGTACTTAACGCAGTTCTTTTCACTCAATAGTTTCGCCGGCACCAATGGGTTTATTATTATCATGGCAGCATGATTCTAAACAGATAGAGCTTTAGTTTGCCTGCATATTTATTCAATTTCGAACCGAACAATGAAACACAGAGTCACTATCTCCCAAAACGTCATTACCATTCTATAGGAAGCTATTAAAACGTCAACGCCAGAGAATAATTAGTCTCGATTATCCGTCGAAACAGATTCCAATCGACGAAAAGGACAATATAGAGGTGACAACTATGCGATAAAACCAGCGGTTCACGAAAGGGTGAGCATGTCCTGCTCTCCCAGTAACATCCGCCACTAACACAATATGCATAACATTAACAAAGTATGTGTTTGTATGTGTTTGTGGCCACACATGAGTGAGTCAGTATGGTTTTACACCGCTTCTAACAATTTTCCAGCAATATCACGGCGGGGGACACCAGAAATGGCTTCACACATTATGCCCATGTCGGGAATCGAGCCCGGGTCTTAGGCGTGACGAGCGAACGCTTTAACCGCTATGCTACCCCACCGCCCCGTCCAGGCATGAAGGCATTATCGAGTAAGATTTGCAGCTCAGTTATTGAATTATGCTAGTCCCTGTTTTTATTAGTGCCATAATTATGTTCCCGTGTTTTTCAGGTAAACAAATAACTTGCCTTTGCATGTGTTTGTGACGGATGCCACCAGTGAGGCAGGGTACAACACCTTTTCGCGAACACCCGGTCTCAACACCATTTGATAAAAAGTAATTATTCCTGGAAGCTTCGCTTAAAGATAAACGGCGCCGACAGTACATTATTCTGCGATAAAGTACAATTTTTGTTACGTCATTATGGGATGACGTCATTACGCTGTCCATATTACATACCCGAAATCTAACTTATCCTTGGTAACATTGTTCTATCATTCCCATCATTAAAGATGGCGTATCCACATCAATTATCGCTTGGTGAAATATTTTCTTCAACGGAGACAACTGTCGGATAATTTTGCATAACAAAGTACGTGTTTGTGGCCAGACGTGAAGGCATTCGACGATGATTTGAATTTGCTCAGTCACTGAATTAAACTGTTCCCTGTTTTGGTTTGGGTCATATGTTCCCGTGTATTTAAGGTGAACAACTGACTGATATTTGTGACTGGTGGGGCAGGATACACTCACCCTTTCGCGAACACCCGGTATCGTCTCTATTTGAAAGAGATTCATAAACACATGCATATGATAGAGTCGGAATCGTACATTTGACTTGAGATTTGGAACGGGTTTGGTCGTTTTTATGATCACATGATACAGAATACATAATTTTGGGATGAGTGACTGTTGTTACACGCCGCAGTCAGTGCATTCGTTTTCAGCTTATCACGTCGGCGTGTACCTAATCGGGTCTGGAACGGTGTCGTTCCCATGTGCCAAAAGTCCCAATGTGCCAACAATCCCAATGTGCCAACAGTCCCAGTGTGCCAACAGTCCCAATATGCTAACAATCCCAATGTGCCAACAATCCAAATGTGCCAACAGTTATAATGTGCCACCAGTCCTCATATGCCACCAGTCCCAATATGCCAACAATCCCAATGTGCCAACAGTTCTAATGTGCCACCAGTCCTCATATGCCACCAGTCCCAATGTGCCAACAATCCCAATGTGCCAACAGTCCCAGTGTGCCAACAGTCCCAATATGCTAACAATCCCAAATTGCCAACAATCCCAATGTGCCAACAGTTATAATGTGCCACCAGTCCTCATATGCCACCAGTCCCAATATGCCAACAATCCCAATGTGCCAACAGTTCTAATGTGCCACCAGTCCTCATATGCCACCAGTCCCAATATGCCAACAATCCCAATGTGCCAACAGTCTCAATATGCCTACAGTCCTAGTGTGCCAACAATCCCAATGTGCCATCAGCCCCAGTGTGCCAACAGTCCCAATGTACCAACAGTCCCAATGAGCCAACAGTCCAGGTGTGCCTACAGTCCCAATACACCTACAGTCTCACTGTGTCAACAGTCCAGGTGTGCCAACAGTCCCAAAGTGCCAACAGTCACAATATGCCTACAGTCCCAGTACACCAACAGCGCCATTGTGCGATCAGTCCCAATGTGCCAACAATCCCAGTGTACCAACAGTCCCAATGTGCCAACAGTCCCTATGGGCCTACAGTCCCAGTACACCAACAGCCCCAATGTGCCAACAGTCCCAATATAGCTACAGTCCCAATATGCTAACAATCAAAATGTAACAACAGTTCTAATGTGCCAACAGTCCGCATATGTCAACAGTCCCAATGTGCCAACAATCCCAGCGTACCAACAGTCCCAATGTGCCAACAGTCCCAAAGTGCCAACACTCCCAATGTGCCTACAGTCCCAGTACACCAACAGCCCCAATGTGCCAACAGTCACAATATGCCCACAGTCCCAATGTGCCAACAATCCCAATGTGTCAACAGTACCAATGTGCCCACAGTCCCAGTACACCAACAGCGCCAATGTGCCAACAGTCCCAATGTGCCTACAGTCCCAGTGTACCAACAGTCCCAATGTGCCAACAGTCCCAATGTACCAACACTCCCAATGTGCCAACACTCCCAATGTGCCTACAGTCCCAGTACACCAACAACCCCAATGTGCCAACAATCACAATATGCCTACAGTCCCAATGTGCCAACAATCCAAATGTGTCAACAGTACCAATGTGCCTACAGTCTCAGTACACCAACAGCGCCAATGTGCCAACAGTCCCAATGTGCCAACAATTCCAGTGTGCCAACAGTCCCAATGTGCCAACAGTCTCAATGTGCCAACAATCCCAATGTGCCAACACTCCCAATGTGCCTACAGTCCCAGTACACCAACAACCCCAGTGTGCCAACAATCACAATATGCCTACAGTCCCAATGTGCCAACAATCCAAATGTGTCAACAGTACCAATGTGCCTACAGTCTCAGTACACCAACAGCGCCAATGTGCCAACAGTCCCAATGTGCCAACAATTCCAGTGTGCCAACAGTCCCAATGTGCCAACAGTCTCAATGTGCCAACAATCCCAATGTGCCTACCGTCCCTAAATGTCTACAGTGCCATTGTGCCTTCAGTCCCCATATGCCTAAGTCGCTATATGCCTACAGTACGAATACGCCTACAGTCCCAAAATGTGTCTACAGTAAAATCATGAACAGCGCCATGCGATAACAACCATCAAGTCACACATTGTGAGCACCCGATCATTTCATTTAAGTCTTAAGACCAGCACGGGAATCCGTATGAGGATGCACATATGTTAAAAACATGATCATATTCATCAGTAAGAGATTGCATCGACACAGAAACTGAATAATTAATCACGCCAAAATGATTCCAATCAGAGAGCCATGTGATGACAAGGTAAATATCCTTACAGGAGCATGCACAATGATTTCTTCCAGGGTATATTTCCTAACGAGAATGTTCTTCAGCAGGTAGTAGATAGTGCGTCTTCATCAACTGTTACCGCTGTTGGTGCGTACGGTCTGACGATTTCATTTCCGATCACTTGATGCTTTCAAAGCCCTGAGAATACACCTGTCAATTTTAATTTGCACCGTGACATTAGACACATGTATATAATACAGAACATGCTTCGCGAATATCCGTTGTCATGAATACATCTTTATAGTTAAAAAATGTTTTTTTTATGCCACTTTCAACAATCTTTTAGTTGGCAGGTCCGTTTAATGTGTGGAGTCCGAAGCGATGGAGGTCGAAGGCGTTTGTGGTGAAACCTCCGAGCACGAGGTGCTGACAAACCCATGATCAATAACCGGGCAACTCTGGGATTCGAACCCACAAACGTGGGATCATGAGCCGTTCTGCACAGAGACTTTAGACCATTGGCCACCAGAACCTCCATGAGTGACTACCCTGTTTGTATGTCAACATATACAAAACAATCCGTTCTGCACATTGCAATCATGTTACCATAGTTAATACGTGTGTCTCTTTGTATGGGAGTCATTGAAAAGATCAATGTGCCAACATTGTTGGTGTGTCATGATTGTCGTTTCCAGCTCGCCTTCTTTACTTTGTGTGAGTGAGTGGGTGAGTTAGATTTAACGAAGAAGCTGTAATATTGCGGTCGCATAGCAACGGGAGCCTATAATATATAAAATAAATATAAGCGACAAAAACATTTCCATATTCGTAATATAAAACGTCAATGCAAGAGAATAATCAGTCTTGATTTTCTGCCGAAACAGATTCATTATCTGTGAAAATTATTTGCTAGGACCACTGAAAATCAGTCTTCGTAAAATGGGTTAGCATGTCCTGCCCTACCAGTTGCACCCGCCACTTACACAATCTGCAAAAAGGGTAGGTATTTATTGCCTAACGCCACACCGTACCCCTGCCACGCGACGGCGTCCTGTAAACAAACCAGACAATCAAGTGATCGATGGACCATAAATCCAGTGTCACGATAAGGCATTTACGGACTTTGTTGAAACGAATAAAGACTATATGTTGCTTTTGAATTCAGAAATTTAAATATCTATACTGAAAGAAGATCCCATTCTACGATTCCGACTATTTTCATAAGCTAAAGTTTCGGTAGTACAAGTATACATATATTTTTATGTGATAGAAAAAAATAAATGTTTTAGTGACCTTAGTTGACAGATTTGACGCGACCACCTGGAATAATCACTATTTGATAGTGATTTATAAACATGCTATGCTTATGCTGTTATGCTATATTCCGAATCGTTAAATGGACTCTGCTTTCAACTGTGATTTCTTATGATTACGGAAGGGTTTTGTCTCTTTTTAAAAAAAAGAAGTTATTTCAATGAATCCATTTGTGTTTTGTTTTACTGGAATTATGATCCGGACTTAATATTCGGAGTAAAGCCGGTATTATAAGTGCTGACCTGAGATACCATGCAGTTGTTTTAAGTAGACAACGAGACGACCAGTCCTTTTGTTAATTCCTTTAATGCCGAACGCCAGGCAGGTTAACAACAAGTATAACCGTTAACGTCATTTAGTATGATGCTGCCGGGTGGAACCACCGACCCGCCGCTCTCCGGGCCGGAGCTTTCAATATTGTAAAGTCACACACCCATAGTACAGATATTTTTTGAAGTTGCTATAAGCTTAAAGTATATTCATTCTGAGCAACATAACATGGTTAACGTTTATCAAGGACACATTTCGGATAAATATATAATGTCAATGATGGAGAATAACCAGTCTTAATTGTCAGCCGAAACAGATTCCATTTGGTTATTCTAGATTCCAAGACTGTTGTGAACAGATGACATGATGGGATCGTATCGAAAAATATATGTTGCCCCAGATAATGCTGAAAATGCTCTATACAAAATCCTTGGCTCTCCCTACAATATCAAATGGTCGGTCCCTTTAACAGTGCTCACAAATACATTTTTTCATTTCTCGAGGTATGTTCCCTTGTCTCCAAAGTTCAGTCAATAATCCATGCGAGCTTTATCGAAACTGTGCTGGAGCTAATATTTTGTCAAATTTACTTTAAAAAGATAAATCTCTCTGCTGATACGTAATGCATTTATTGGATGAGGGTGCAAATGAAAGAAATGTCTGTAAATGCATCGTTAAGGGGTTGTGATATTGATAGCAGAAAATAATCTTCAGACCTAGTGGAATGAAACTTGACAAGGGTATTAGTCTTTCTCCACATAGGAACCACCAAGAGTTACACACTTCTCCCATCGTTTTATGCAACTATGGAGACCTCGCTTGTAAAAGCCCTCATTTGCGTCTCAAACCAGGACTTGACTTCAGAAATCAGTGTTTCATCATCTGTGAAACGTTTTCCCTTCAAAAATGACTTCATGGTTGGAAAGGTCAGGAGAGTAAGGAGGATGTGGAAGGATTTCATAGCCACAGGATGGCGCTTCTGTCTGGGCAACATGAGAGTTGTGTACTGGAGCATTGTCTTGCAGGAAACAGACACCCTTGGTCAGCATGCCACGCCTCTTAAGCTTGATAGCGTCCCGCAATTTCCGCAGCAGTGAAGCATAATAAGCTCCTGTAATTGTGGTACCCTTTGCCAAGAAATCCATCATCACTACTCCGTGCTGGTCCCAAAACACCGTGAGCATGACCTTGCCTGCAGAGGGTTGGACACGTGCCTTCTTTGGGGGTGGTGACTCCACATGCTTCCATTGCATCGACTGAACTTTAGTCTCAGGATCATAGTGATGGACCCATGTTTTATCCTGTGTGATAAGTCTGTCAAAAAAGTTTGCCTGTTTTTGGGGGGCACATGTCCAAAAGATCCTTTGCGCAATTGACTCGTTCCTGCTTTTGGAAAGGTGTGAGCAACCTGGGAATCCATCGTGCAGACACCTTATGCATGTTCAAATTGTCATGGATGATTTTTTTCCACAGACCCTACACTGATCTTGACATCTCTTGCTAACTGGCGAACAGTTATACGTCGGTCTGCCAAAATGGCGGTCTCCACTTGATGGATAATGTCCTCATCAATGGCTGAATGGGGGCGACCAGGAATGGCAGCTGTTTCCACAGATGTCGGACCACACTTGAACTGGCGATGTCAGTGTTTTACAACGTCATATGATGGGGCATCTTCCCCATAAGTTGCTTTCATTTCATTAATCACTGCTCGGTATTCTACTGGCTCCATTGTCACACCCTACTCGATCACCTGTAAAAGTGGTAAGATTAATAGTTCGGTGCTGCAAACTCAGACATAACCCATAGATACATGTATCTTTACACATGTGAAATTTCAACCAAATATGATAACCCTAAAAGGTTTAGGGGAAATCTTTAATGAACACCCCTCGTATAACCACATCTACAATCATTTAGTAGGCAGTAAAAGTTGTACGTCCAACACAATGCTTTTCATATACATATACCGACATCATATTGAACCGATTTCTAGGAAGTCTTAATCATTGGGTATCCTGTAAATCTTACAGTAATATATACAGTATTTAAGAACAGAAATACACTGAAATATATGCAGTGATACACGTCCGCATATTTTACTTTGGAGGTACATTGTTTTACACAAGAAATCTATGACAGGCAGAACCCCATTGTAGCTTTTTAACGAGTACACATGTCTACTGTTGCTTTAAATCGGGCATATTTCTAAAAATACACGGGCCTTGCCTTGCGTTACCATCGTATTTTTTAGTGTCTGTAGGTTACTTAGGAAATTAATAGAAAAGGGTTCCGTTTTCTGAGAGTCGTATCCTGTTGTGTGGCATTAACGGAACATTTTTTCTGATGGCCGTAGGTTAGAGGAAAGATTCGGGTTTTAACGTGCAAATAGAAAGAACGTTTTTATTTCAAATAACAAAAACGTAGAATCTTCAAAGTAATGAATTTCCCAAATCTCTGTCATTGTCTCTTTTAGAGGAAATATCGCAATGATTTCTTAGGAACTTAAGTTGAAAACCAGAAATTGGAATGTTAATGGTACCAATTTCCCCACTATGTTAAAGCGCCAGGTTTTAAGAACGTATGAATATAAAAGCACAATTGTTTCCATAATCTTAAGAAATCTCCGCCATTGAACGATGACCATGTGCATGTGTTTGCGAATCACTATTGAAAAGTTATGATACCTGGTGTACATCCCTCTTATGTCTGTTTGTTTGTTGTTTAACGCCGCACTCATCAATATTCCAGCTTTATGACGGCGGTCTGTAAATAATCGAGTTTGGACCAGACAATCTAGTGATTGACACCGTGAGCATTGAGCATCCACGCAAATGGGATACGATGACATGCATAGACCAAGTCAGCGAGCCTGAACACCCAAACTCGTTAGTCGCCTCTTACGACAAGCATACTCGCCTTTTACAGCAAGCATGGGTTGCTGAAGACCTATTCTACCCGGATCTCCAGGTGTCCTGTACATATAGAGAATCTCTCTTTTAATATCAACTATCGGCGCGAGTTGATACAAGGTTAGGTAGTCAAGGAGTTTTAAACTTTTGCTGAGAGACACGGGGGTAAGATTCTATTTATGATCCAAAATCATCCTTCAAAGATGTTTAGTTTGTAAACAGTAACGACCAAATACAGTACAGCTAGAAGTACTGCTACCCACCTTCTGTGGCAGAGAGATTAATGATGTCATTTGGCTGTGACGTCATGGTAAAGATCACGTCACAATGGCATACTGTGCTCAG